GAGAGAGAGAGAGAGAGAAAATCTATAAATAAAGGTTTTGGATCGGAGCGAATTCAGATAGAGGAGGAGATGAAAAAAAACCATAAATGGGGTTTTTGGATTTTGGATTTTGGATTCAACTTATTAGACGGAGAGACGGAGAAACTAAGAATCAGGGTATTGGGGTGAACCTGTTAGAGCACGAACCCCAGAAACAGAGTGTTGGGGGTTAGAGAGAGAGAGAGAGAGCAGAACAGGATATTGGGCCCAACCTCATCAGGCACGCTATAATCAAGGATGAAGGAGCCAGGCTTCTCTACTGAAAAATTGAGCCCCTCGAGCTTGGGGCCATTGGTGAAGGTGCTGTCCCTGCATGAGGCCCTGAACCTCAGCTCCCCTGCTTTCATGGCGATTGTTGCCGTCGAACTGCTGAGCTTGGTCTCATACCGTCCCTCTAAACTTGCCTGCATCTTGATTGCTTGCAAGGGGAGACCAATCTAGAGAGAGAAAGTAATGGAGCAAGAAATAGGAAAGGAATATAGAAAGAAAGAGGAGACCAGAATAGAGAAACGAAAAAAATGAAGAGTGAGAAAGAAGAGCGGAAGGAAGAGAGCAGAAGGAAACAAAGGGTTTTTGAAGCTTCTCCCCTCTCTCTCTCTCTCTACTTTCTTCTTTCTCTACAACTGGACTTACTGCGACGACTGTCGCCTGGGATTTATCAGTTCCGCCGATCTTTGGAAGAATTTCGAAACTTAATGACCATCTTGCCCCTCTCATATACCTACATTAATGACAATTTTAAGGAAAATTACAACCATCTACTCTCGGTATAGGGCGGTAACAATTGCTCTCAATGAAATAGGGTAGCTCTATTTATTCTACTTACCAAGTTCAAATTTCAAAAAAAAAAAATGTAGAATTTTGTGGTACATCTAAACTATCAAATTTTACATTAGACGATGGTGAGTAATTGTCGTTACTTTGTATCAAAGATAAATGGTTTCTTGTATACACTCTCCAAATTTAAACCTTCCTTTTTTTCACAAATCTTCAACCGTATCAAATGTAAATGGTTTCTTGTACACACTCTCGAAATTTAGACCTTCCTTTTTTTCACAAATCTTCAACAATCTACGGTCGCATCTAAAAGCCATCGGCATAAGAGAGTCCAGGGATGGTAATGGGATGGGTTGGATCGGCTATGGTCCAGCCATGGAAAAAATTGATATGGGATATGGACCCAAACCTGAAAATATAGTATGGGACTTAGACTTTGACCTAAAATATAGTGTGAGACCCAGGCTCCGACCTGGACCTGATTGAAAATTAAAATATCGATGTATTTAATATTATTTAAAAATATTTTATATATTGGGATCCATAAAATATTACCGGACCCGGATCTAGACCCAGAGCCAAGTAATGTTGGGGTCTAAGATTTGGATCCGGACCCGACCTTTTGGGTCCAATTTTTGAACTCATACCTAGACTCGGATCGGTTTTACCCTTTTGGTATCTAGTCAGATCCGGATCCATTGTCACCCCTAATTTACAACCTTGTAACAATCTCTTCATAATAAATCGTTCCCTCTCCAAATAACATATAAATTAAACTGTTCTATTTAATAATATGGTTTTTAAATAAATTAATTTATATTTTTTAAGAACTTTGTTGTACGCTCATTATTTTTTATTTTTAGATAAAATTTTTTGGACAATGATGTATTCGCTTGTCTATTCCTTTTGTTATCAAAATTTCAAATGTTTATAGACCACCTTTTATATTTTAATTTAACAACTACGGTTACAAATATATTTTGAAGTCATTATACGGTTTTTGACACAAAAACTACATCTCCCAATAAAATTTAGAAGTGTGCCTTACTTCTACATTAAAGGGGGGCGCCTTATACAAACATCTCCCTTTAATTATCACTTAGGTGTACAATGAATATCATCATATAAAACGTATAAGGAAAAAAATTTATATAAGGGCGAGGCCTTAAACAATCAAACTAAGGCATACTTGAAAAATTCATTAGAAGAGGTTGTTTCATTGCCCTAAAAATACTCAAATTGATCATCTCAACCTCAAGATGAATTGACATGAAAAAAAAAAAAAAAGGATTTCAAGTCTAGGAAATAGTGCATCTTGTAATGCAATATTGAATCATCAATTTTTAAGATTTTCAAGTGTTTATAGATCTGCTCGATCTACACTCTTTGTTAAGATTTAAAATTTATAATTCGATAATGAAAATATTTTTTCATTCCATTATAAAGATTTTGAATATTGAAACAACATCTTTCGATACTATTTGAAGATGCACCTTACTTTGATGGTTTAGGGCCTCAGCCTCATACAAACCACTTATATAACTCAGGGAGTATCAAACATCCGTATGTAAGATATATATTGAAAAGGGGACATCTAACAAAAATCTAAAATGAAATAGCATAAAACAATTAAAAAATACCACTTCAAAGTTTTAAATTTTAATATTTTTTATATGATCACCATTGTCTAGATTATAGACCTCATAAATTTGAGTCCCAAAGTCATATTTAAGATGGATTTAGAGTAGAGATGCATATGAATAGATGAGTCCAAACTCATAGAAACTCCACCTGTTATTAGAAGACATCAATTGTATCTCATTGATTGCTAGAAATTAATTAGGGACACGGTTTTGGTGAGTAAGCCAACTCACCACTTATCATGCGGTCTCTTGTCTATCTAACGTTCATATTTAAGATGGATGTCAAACAATGTTTCATCCACTAAAACTTAAACTGGATGATGAAAAAAAGGAGCTAAAAAAATAACATTTATAATTTTTTAAAAAGAAAAATTCCGATCATTCTCATACTCACAAAACACTTTTCTATTAATTAATACTTCATATGTGAGATGTCACCTTTTATATGGATGATGGCACATAATGGGTGACGTCATTCTTCTTTGTAGTTAAAAAATATTTTTAATCTACAAAATTATACTTTAAATATTTTAAATCTACAAAAAATATACTTTAAGTTTGATTAAATACTGAAAATACGTGGACAAAAATCATGCTTTTATGTAGATAAATCGCTAACACTTCATACATCTATTTGTAACCTCAAAGAAAACTATCGTTGTATCAGCGATGAATTTTATCAAGATGTTATATTAAAATTTATTGGAAATTTACTAATAATCATCAAATCCTAAATATATCAAATTACTATGGGAAAATATATAATGAGACCATTTGCCTTTGCACAATATGGTCACAATTAATCTTGACCATTAGATGTCAAATCGGGTGGTGCATTCATTTTATTGATTAAGCTCAAAGTTCAAAATAAGTTTTTTCGAACTTCATGACACACCTAAGCTATCAGATTTCACATCAAATGGTTGTATGTAATTGTGACATCCATGTACAAAAGGCAAATGGTCTCATTGTATACAATTCCAATTATTTTATTATTTTGTTTTTATAGAATGAAGTCTATGAAATTCAATCAAACAAATTCAAGTTATACATAATTGAAGATAAATTCTTAAATAAAAAAAGAAGGAATTAATTTGCAATACATGTAAATTTTAAAGTATCAAATATGGCTTAATAGCTTGAACTTGCATATCCATTTTAAATTTCTACAAATTGCTCCTCAATTTAGGAGACACTTAAAAGTTAAAAGGTGTATTTTTAATCATTTGAGGATCTTTTGTTAAGTTATATAAGGCTTAAAAAGAAATTTAATGGCATCGTTTAGCCCAAAAGAAAAAGAAAAAAAGAAAAAGAAAAAGCAAACAGAGGGAAAGAGGTTTATCAGCCTCAGACAGTGGTTAAACATCGGTCTGGTTCACATTTTAAAAAAAACGTGTGGTTTGAATGAGGCCGAGGCCCTAAACAATTTAAGCAAGGTGAACCTTCAAATGGTGCCGAAATATATTGCTTCAGTATCATAAATTTTTATGATGACCTGAAAATTTATTTTCATCTCTAATTATAAAATTTAAATATTAAAAAATAGTGTAGATCAAGCAGCTTATAAACACTTGAAAAACTTTAAAGTTGACGGTCTAGATAATGCATTACCAAGTGCACTATTTCCAAGACTCGAAATCTATCTTTTCTCATGTCCATAAATCTTGGGGTCAAGATAATCGAATTGAAGGTTGTTCAGCATTGAAACAATATGTTATTGTGAATTTTTGAGGTGCGCTTTAATTTGATTGTTTAGGACCTCGGACTTTATATAAACTTTTTCCTTGAAAATATTTCTTATTTTAAGCGGATGTTTCATTTTTCAATAAATTTTGGCCAGAGCAACGGCTTCATTTTATCCATTTTTTTGGGGCAAATTTCGTTTTTGGGTGGTCCAAAGAGTCCTAAATGATAATGGTTATCACCCTACTAGCGTTAACAGGTTTTAGCATGTTCTGAGTATTTTCAAGATTAACTATATGAGTTTTTATCGTTTTAAATTACCTAAAGAATATGAGTTTTTAGCGTTTTAAATTAGGTATAGATTGATTATATGCCCCTAGGGGAGCATATCATCCATTTACTCCCTCATGTACAGGCCTACGTAGAAGTGCTTATAAGTCCCCAAAATTAATGCATTCACCTTAGCGGGTTAACATTACAAAGAAAATAAAAATTAAAAAAAGGGAAAGAAATTAAAGAAGGGGTTAAAACCCATTACAATATTACTAAAGGTTCAAAAGATTACAAGTAGCACTTGAAGGGAGTGTTTTTTATTTTCAATATCTATAAATTATTATATCCTATAAAAAATTAAAAACTTCCATATTACCTCTATTCAGTGTTGGGAAGCCATAACAATTAAAGATACTTAGTAAGTACCCCTAAATAAGTACTACATTCAATTAACGCTTATTTGGGGGGACTAATTGTTTTGGCTTCCAAACAGAATAAGAACAACTTGATAATTTTTTAACATTGTTTTAGAATGTATCCAATGGATTTAGAAATTAAAAAGATAACCTCAATTGCAATTTGTAATATTTTGACCATACTTTGAGGGGTTTCAACTCTTTTTTGGTATTTACCCAAAAAATAAAAGAAAAACAGATGTATGCCTAAAGAAAATAATATCCTTGGATCGAACATAGATGATGCAAATTTTTTACTGTGAAACCTAGGTGTTTAGGAAATCAAAATTTCAAATTCGTTTTTAAAACACTTATTTCGGAATTCCAAAGTCAATCCCAAAATCCCGGAGAAAAAAAATAAAAATAAAAATAAAAATTCCCAAGTAGCCATTTTGTCTTAGGGAGTAAATGTATAGTATATGCTCCTATAGAAGTACGCCATGCACAGCCTTTTAAATTTCTAATTTCATCGTCCTTATTATGTAGCAGGTACCATATTATGTGTGAACTTTGCATCTTAACCATTCATTCCAAAATACAAAGGACAAATGATAGTGCCTAGTAGGTAACTTGAGTGGTGTCTACAATCATCCGTTACAGAAATGGAGGGTTAAGATCCAATATAATATATAGTCTCTAGTATCTCTAGGACTTTTAATTTTTAGGGATGTAACTCCTCAACCTGAGCCTTGAAACAAAAGAAAAAAAAAGTAAGCTCTTGAAAAATAAGAAGCCATCCAAATTTAGATGATGGTAGGGTTGAGAATTTAGTCGGTTTGGATCTGAAACTCGAATTTCATACCTTATCTGGATTTG